TTCAACATAAACATCCTCCTTGATTTCACCATCTAGAAATTCACTTTTCACATCCATTTGAAATAATTTGATATTCATATAACTTGCATAAGCATAGAGAAGTCTAATTGATTCAAGTCTAGCTACATGTGCAAAAGTTTCATCATAATCTATCCCTTCTTCCTGGTTGTATCCTTGGGCAACAAGTCTAGCCTTATTTTTAATTATGTATCCAAGGTCGTCAGATTTGTTTCTGAAGATCCATTTAGTGCCAATAACAGAGATATTATAAGGACGAGGTACTAATTCCCAAACATTCAGTCTAATGAACTGAGACAGTTCTTCTTGCATAGCAAGCAACCACTCTTCATCCAAAATGGCTTCTTTAAATTTTTTAGGTTCAAGCATAGAGACAAAGGCATACTGACCTGGGATGTGCTTACCTCTGGTTCGAACAGGGTCAGTTAGGTTACCTATGATTTGAGAGGGTGGGTGCCTTTTTCTGATGTGAGCTGGAGCTTCCACATTGTCCTGTTGAGCAGTTGAGTCAACCTCAGGTTGTACTGAGTCGTTTGACACATTATCGAGAGGTCTTTCACAGTCTGGCTTATTTCCTGTCTCAATAAAGGAGCTAAGGGCAGAAAATCAAAGTCATTTATGTCAGACTATAAGGGCAGTGAAGGATGTGAAGAATCAAAGCGAACATGCATTGATTCCTCAACTTTTCTCGATCTTTTATTGAAAACTCTATAGGCTTGACCTTTACTGGAGTATCCAAGAAAGATCCCTATATCTGATTTTGCATCAAATTTTCCAATGGAGTGTTTTGTATTTAAAATGAAACATTTAGTTCCAAACGGATGGAAGTAGGACAGTTTAGGGGTTTTTCCTTTTAGAATCTCATAGGGAGTTTGGTTGATTACTTTTCGAACTGTAGTCCTGTTTAAGACATAGCAGGCAGTATTGACTGCTTCTCCCCAGAGAAACTTAGGACATCCAAATTCCAAAAGCATGGTACGAGCAGTTTCAATGAGGGATCTGTTTTTCCTTTCCACAACACCATTCTGTTGTGGTGTTCTGGGAGCTGACAAGGTGTGTAATATTCCTAGTTCATCACAGAAGCAATTAAAACTATCATCAATGAATTCTCCACCATTATCCCTCCTACTGCTCTTGACAACACAATTATATTGATTTTGAACTAAAGTGACAAAGGACTTAAACTTGGAGAATGCTTCATCTTTGGATGACAAGAAAAACACCCAAGTGAATCTAGAATAGTCATCAACTATGACAAGCACATAAGATTTGCCACCTAAGCTCTGAACATTGGTAGGTCCAAACAGATCCATATGCAACAGTTCAAATGAGGCTTTAGATGTAACATTCTGTTTACTTTTAAATGATTTTTTACAGTGTTTTCTTAGTATGCAAGCTTCACAAGTGAATTTGTCTGATGCTTTGATTAAAGGCAATCCTCTAACAATGTTGAGTTTGGAGAGTTTAGTTAGTCTAGACATGCTCATGTGTCCTAGTTTTCTATGCCAGTTGATTACTGACTCAGAAATGGAGCTCAAACATATGTGATCAGAGAGGTCAACAGTGGATAAGTCAACAGTTTAAACATTGTTAACTTTCTTTCCTTTGAATATAACTGCATTTTCAGAGATGCGTTCAATGATGCGACTAAATGGATCAAATATGACTCGATAGATGGACCCACAGATTTGACTAATTGAGAGTAAATTGTGTTTTAATCCATCAACATAGAGAACATCCTCAATTATTAGGGAGGAATTACCACTAACACTGCCCTTCCCCACAATAGAAGCACAATTATTATTATCATAGAAGAATTTACCTCATCTTTTTGGGTTTAAAAAAGAAAACAAATCTTTGTTACCTGTCATGTGGTGAGAGCATCCAGAATCTAAGTACCAGATGTTACCACCTTTATTGTTCTGAAATGAAAGGAATTTAATTAGAAGTTGAATGGTTGACCTCATGTCTGCAGCCCTGGCGGTCCAGTAATGTCCCATGGTCTGCTCCTCGGGACTGACCACATCATGGTCCTGTGGATCAGCCATCTCCTCTTCTTCAGTGATCTGTAGCTGTGCTAGCGCCTCCTCCGCAGCCAGTCGCGCCTTTAGAGCCCGCTTGAAGTTTCTGCAGGTTCGTTCAAGCTCCTGGTCTAGTGGTAGTAGATCTCCCGACTGGCTACGGGTCATGCACTACCTGCACACAATCAACAAAAGCAACCCGTGAAGGCACACAGGTGGAAAAGATAAAATGATGTAAAGAAAAAGCTAGAGTAACATATTTGCACGTTTCCCCAATAACCTAGAGGGTCCCCGGCAACGGCGCCAAAAAATTGACACTCCAAAACACAACACCAATCTGCGACCAAGTGTAATCGCAGACCGGGACTGCAGTAAAGTGGCAAGTTATATCATCAACCCGGGGTCTAGATCTACTGCTTACTCAGTGATTATCTATTATCTAGCCAACTAAGTCAAGTGATTGTTGTTTAAAGCAAAAGCAGAAAGAAAGCAGGAATTGGTACGGTTTTCTAAAGCAAAGAAGAGTCACTCGGGAATGAGTCCCCCTAGCTCATTAGTTAGGTTTCAATTGTAATTTCCCTGGGTTGATTTACTGTTGATTAGACTGCGGAAGATCCGACAGTAGCTTGGAATCTCTTAAGCTGACCAAGCCCTCTCAGACTAACTACCCGGCAGACGACTAGTCTTCACCGGGATAGAAAGCTGAAGCAGTAAGAACAAAACTCCACTACTAGAATTGAATTCCAGTACAAAGCAGTAAACCGGCTAACTCTCGTATAGCCAATCTCCTACTACCGAATGATGAGGCTCTAACAACCTAATAAGATTCTATCTATCTCAGGTTGCAGTAGAAATCAGGAAAAGATGATCAGACTTCAATTGACTCAATAAACATGCATCATTCGATTAAAACCAAGCAGTAATATCATCCCAAGTCATTACAATCAAATCCCTAACACATAGAACTAGGGTTCTTCATACCCAAGTGAGAGAAGGGTTCTACTCCGTAGAGAGAGAGAGAGAGAGGGAAACAGAATACAGAGTAGTCATACTCATAAAGATGAGGAAAATCTGCTCTGGGATGATGATTTCCACTCCTATGACGATCTCCAAGCTTCATTTGATGAAACCCAGCTCCAAGATAGCTTCTAGGATGTGTTCTTCGTACTTTCTCTCTCTAGGGCTCTGTTTTTGCTCTCAAAACTCCATTCCCCCACTTTCAGCCCGAAATTGGGTAAAAACCAGAAATTCCCGACTCACACGGGCAGGGCCACACGGCCGTGTGGCATACCCAGTTGCCCGTGTGACATCAAAACGCCGCGTTTCGATTAATCACACTTCAGGCTTCCCACACGGCCAGGGTCACACGGCCGTGCAGCTCACCCTGCCTGGCCGTGTGAAGTCTCGCACAATCCCACACGGCCAAAGTGGTCACATGCGCGGCCGTGTGGCTTCTGGTTGTGCCCGTGTGGCTTCCTTTTTGACTTGCCTCGCGCCCGATCTTCGTCCAATCGACCCCGAACTCGCTCCCAAGCCTTCATTCACTTACTAGGACCTGAAATATCACAAAAAAACACAACCTAGCTTGAAATCGGCCTAAAACACGAGAATTACCATCTCAAACGGCTCCATAATAGGGGTAAAAACATGTGCAATTAACGGCTTATCAGAACTTCTTCATGACTAAGAAGAGATCCAATGAGATTTTCAAGTGAGAGGACATTAAGGTCCTTGGCTTCCTCAATGGCTGTTCTTTTAGCCATCCATTCAAGAGGAAGAGACCTAAGAACTTTTCTAACTAGCTCCTTGCTAGTGAATGATTTTCCTAGTCCCTTAAGTCGATTGACTAAGGTGGAAAATCTCTTATCCATTTCTGAAATGGATTCACCAGAGATCCTGTCAAAGGTTTCATATTCTTTTAGTAACAAATCAATTCTGGTTTCTTTAACTTCTGATGTTCCTTCATGAGTAGTTTCTAGAATGGACCATATTTCTTTAGTAGATTCACATTAATTCACCCTTTCACCTTCATCTTCAGAAATAGCAAAAAGCAAGATATGCATAGCCCTAGAGTCTAGTTGAGCACTTTTCTTTTGTTCATCTGACCATTCCTCCTCGTCATCTTCTTTCATGTCAATTGGTCCATTTCGAACAATTGCCCATAAATCACAGTTAATTCCTCGGAGGAAAAGGCACATCCTTTTTTTCCATACAGAGTAATTAGAACCAGAAAACCACGGAGGGTTTGAGCTGGTTGGGAATGAGTTTGAAGACATAGCAGAGAAGAGGATCTCCTTCTCAGCAACACCTAGTTCTTATGAGAAGGAGGCTCTGATACCAATTGTTAATATGCTATGTGTTCAGTCTCATTGCCATGACTTGATTAGTCGGTTTAGAGAATCTATAATTCAATTCAACAAGAGTAAAGACTCAAACAGAACGATAAGATTTAGATAAAATCCCTAACAAACTCGATCAAGAGTTCTGAAACTAGGAAGCAATCATAGATTCAAGACAATCAATCGAAAGAAAAGAAACAAGAAGAAGCCACACCCAGATAAACTTGAGTTCCTGTCTCAAAGCCCCAACTCAAGTTATCCAGACACAAACACCGAACCCTAACTAGAGACTCCCTAGAACTCAACCAGTTCTTACTGAGTATCAGGAAACCGTTGCCATTCTTCTTCCATTGGAGTATCAGTATTAGTTTGAAAATGATTGGTGAATGCTCAAATGTGTGTTTAATAACTCATAGAATCACATTTACCAATTGATTCACTTTGGATAGTGTCGTGTGTTTACATTCCAAAGTATAATAGCGGGAGACATCAAGGTACGGTTGTAGAAAATAAAAAAAATGAAAATTGGAGATCAAGCCCAAAATAGCGTGAAATTTATTCAGCCTAGACCCACATGGCACATCTGGCACCATTTCTAGAAGGGCACAAATCAACCCATAAATTTGCAAATTTACTTTAATTAGAGGCTAAGCTGAGGAAAAGCCAAAGGGATTCAGCCAGAAGAGGTTCACTCTTACTTTCTCTCTCAAAAAACCTTATGTAAATACTATAAATAGATCCTCACGACCACCATTCGAGACATAAAGTCATACATGGTAGTTACCCTACTCACAAAGTAACTCACAGTTTAGAACCGATAAGAAAACTCTAGGGTAGAACGGCGGAAGAAATGGCACCATAGACGCCATTTTACTATTATGCCTGCTGTTTTTTAAGACTTTGTGAATATCGTCTTTCAACTGATATCTTTTGTTATGATCCTAATTCAAGAATCCTCCGAAATCGGACCAAACACCAGAGTTGAACACGTCGAACTTTTTAGGGATTTTCTTCTTTCTTCAATGACACGAAAATTAAAGATAAATGCGGAACTGATCAAACAAATCCAAACTTGTGAGAAGGGCCAGAAGTCATATGAAACCTTCCAAACAATCTCGAACCCTAGGAAGAGGCCAACCGATATCATTAATGCTCGCCACAACTAGACGCGTTCTCTAGTTTGTAAGAGACCACTCAATTCTCTCGAGTCCTCAAAGGAGAGATTACGCAAAACCATTCACTTGAACTTGAAATTACTCTATTGGATTGCTGAAAACTTGAATGAAAAATACAATAGTTTGGCCACCTTATATAGGCAACGAATTTACATCCAAAACTACTAAGGATAAACAAATCCTACGTGAAAAAGGAAAACAAAAACCTTAACAAACAAGTAAACAAAGTCCTAAAAAGAAAAGGAAACAAATTTGACTTTTTCAACCCAATTCTAGCCTTAAAATCCTCCCTCACATGGCTTGTGTTCAAACCTAATATTCCTTTCACACTTGTATTCCTCTCACATTTTGTTCACACCTTGTGTTCAGACCATGGGGGTATTCCTTCCTTCTGAGCCAAATCTTCTACTCCGTCTTCCAAGCCCATCTTCTCATGATTTTGATCCCGAATTGAAGCAATGCGATGGGCTTCCCTCTATGCAAATCCATGTCCATCAAGAACGATCTCATTTGATCCTTGTGTCGTTGTACTCGGACCTTCATTTTTGGACCACGAGAATTATATGTTTGCCAATCGATTTCACAACAACAAACTCGTAAGCCTTTCTTGTAGAGCCTTTTTCACCCACCTTAAATGCTCTCAAACTCTCTTTAAACATCTTAAATCGTTTCTTAACCCATGATCCACATAGAGATCTAATTTGGGCTTGAGTAACGTAATGTGGGGTGAGAGGGGTCTCATCATTCCCTCCCTCTTGAAAAGATTTGCCCTCAAATCCTGCTGCAACATATAGATGCTCTCCCGTGACTTCTTTATTTCCCAACTTGAATATGCACCTTGAATGACAAGTTTATCCACAAACTCTTGAATTCTTTGTCTCTCTCTAATATGAGCCTCCTTGCATGACACTTTATCTCCAATAACAAATGCCACATGTTGAACAATCACTCCATCCTCTCCCATTTCAATTGACTTGCTTTGAGAAGAGCTTGGACCATGCTCAAAGTCATAATTTGGTGTTTGGGTGTACTTGGTGTATTGAAAATGCCCATGGAAGAATTTTTATGATGTAGGATGACATCTCTAATAACAAAATCTATTCCAATAGGTGTTGACTCGTCTCCTTCCTTCATGCAAATTTGGTGATAACCAGACCTTAGTGCAATCTTTGAAAACATGCTAGAACCATGTAAATCATCAAGCATGTCATCTAACCAAGGAATAGGATGACGATACTTAACAGTTATTTGGTTGACTTCTCAGCAATCAACACCCATCCTCCATGTATAGTCCTTCTTAGGCACGAGGATGACAAGAACCGCAAAAGGACTCGTGCTTTGACGAACATGTCCTTTCTCCATAAGCTTATCGGTTTGTCTTTGCAAATCATTTGTCTCCTCTGGATTCATCCTATAGGCTGCCTTGTTTGGGATGGTATCCCCAGGAACAAAATCAATTTGATGCCCCTTGGATTGGTGGTAATCCTTTTGGTGCTTCTTTGGGAAAGACATCCTCAAACTCTTCTAGTACCACTCGTGCCCTAGGTGTTACCTCTTGAACTAGATCTTTTGGTTGAGTGGCAATCCCTTCTCGCATTTGTTGCATTTGTAATTGATCTTCGTACACTTCGCTAGGAGATAGGGGCTTCAATACTATCTTCTTACCTTGTTGATTCAATGTGTATTTGTTGGTAACGCCGTCATGTTGAGCACTTCGATCAAATTGCCACAGCCTCCCAAGTAAGACATGCGTCGTGACACGCCAAAACACAACACCAAACTGGGACCAAGCGTAATCGCAGTCCGGAAATGCAGTAACAGGCAAGCTCTAATTGTCAACCCGGGGTCTAGATCTACTGCTTACTCCGTGATTATCTATTATCTAGCAAACTAAGTTGATTGATTGTTGATTTAAGTAAAAGCAGTAAGAAAGCAGGAAATGGTTCGGTTTTCTAAAGCAAAGGAAGAGTCACTCAGGAATGAGCCCCCCTAGCTCCTTAGTTAGGTCACAATTGTAATTACTTTTGGTTGCTTTACTGCTGATTATACTGCGGAAGATCCGACAGTAGCTTGGAATCTCTTTAGCTGACCAAGCCCTCTCAGTCAAACTACCCGGCAGACGACTAGTCTTTACCGGGATAGAACACTGAGGCATTGAACACAGAACTCCACTACTGGAATTAGATTCCAGTACAAAGTAGTGAATTGACTAACTCTCGTATAATCGATTCACTACTACCGATTGAAGAAGCTCTAACAACCTAATCAGATTCTATCTATCTCAGGTTGCAGCAGAAATCAATAAAAGATTATCAGACTTCAATTGACTCATTCAAAACACTTCAATCGATTATAATCAAGCAATATCACAATCCGAACGTAATTACAATCAAGATTCCTAACACATGGAACTAGGGTTCTTCATACCCAAGTGAGAGAGAGTTATACTCCATAGAGAGAGAGGGAAACAAAATACAAAGTAGTCATACTCATAACAATGGGAAGAATCTGCTCTGGGATGTCAATCTTCACTCCTGTGATGATCTCCAAGCTCGATTGATGAAACCCAGCTCCAAAATCACTTCTAGGATGTGTTCTTCGCACTTTCTCTCTCTAGGGCTCTATTTTTGCTCCAAAAAGTCGATTCCCTCTACTTTGGCTCGAAATTGGGTTAAAACCCAGAATTTCCCGACCACACGGCCGTGTGGCTTTCCCAGCTGCCCGTGTGAGTGTGCAAAACGTCGGGTTTCACTTAAGTGGCTTCAGGTACGCTACACGGCCAAAACCACACGGCCGTGTGGATTTCCAGGCTGCTCATGTGAGCTCCCTGGACTTTCCACACGACCACAAGGGGTCCCTTACACGGCCAGTGTGGCTTGCCCGTGCAATTTGGTGCCACACGGCCAGGTCACACGGTCGTGTGGGATTTTAGGCGTGCCCGTGTGGCTTTCCCATCTTCTCGCCAAACGTCCAATCTTCGTCCAATCGACCCCGAACTCGTTCCCAAACCTTCATTCACATACTAGGACCTGAAATATCACAAACAAGAACAACCTAGCGTGAAATCGGCCTAAAACACGAGAAAGAAGATTCAAACGCTACAAGAATGGTGGACAAAAACATGTGTATATATCAAGTCATGACGTCGCTTGCATAGGCACCACGTCGCACGTAACCTCATCCTTGTACTTGTCAATGGTGAACTTCAGCAAGGCTTGCTTCACCACTTTAATCGAGATGTCTTCATTGATTCATTGAAGAGTGTAGGGTCTTGGATGGATCGTTGTTTTCAACCCCAATTTCTTCACACAACTCGCACATACCACATTGGTGCAGCTTCCTCCATCAATCACAACCAAAAGGAGCTTTCCATTCACCATGTACCTATTATGGAATAGGTTCTCACGTTTCTCCAGCTCTTCTTTTGGTTGAATATTCATAACCCTTCGAGCTACACATAAGTTTCTCGGCAGTCTCATTGGAATAGGTTCTCACGTTGCTCCAGTCTCATTGGCTTTAGAATCGGATGAGTTATTCTCCTCAATTGCTTCCTCTTCAGAATCAGACACATACTCGCCATATTCTAGTAGAATCAATGTCCTCTTATTTGGACATTGGTTCGTCATATGACCTCATCCATGGGACTTAAAACATTCAATCCCTCATGTAGATAAACCATGTTTGTTGTTATGGTTTGGTGCCTCTACCTTTTTCCTGAGTTTTGGTGCTTCTTTTTTAGGAACACTCGGCCTAGGGTTAGTTGGAGGTGTTGGTGCAGATCTCGTAGCACTTGTAGTCGGTCGAAATCTCCTAGTCTTTTGTTGCCTCTCCACCTTGCTACATATAGCCACCAGGTCTTCTACTTTCAAAAATTGTTGAATTTCTACAACATTACGAATCTCTCGGTTAAGACCATGTAGAAATCAAGCTATGGTAGCTTCCCTATCTTCATGAATGTCAACTCAAATCATTAACAATTCCATCTCTTGATAGTAGTATGATACCTCGACTTCGATAGGTTCAACACCAAATACTGGACCCAAGTTGGAAATTTTTTGAAAAGGGCAAGTAGCCACTCAAAGCTATACGGGACAAGCAACGGACATCATCAAGGTTCATATAGAGAGAGTAATTTTTTGGGGGCTAGGAAGTACAAGAATGGTGTTGACAGGGGAATGATATTCAAGCAAATTTCGGGGACGAAATTTTTTATAAGGGTGGAGGAAATGTAACACCCCGAATTTTGGGTTCAGGTTCGACCAAAATACATGAACGGTTGGGTTAACGGTTACGTACGAAGGATTACAATTGCGGGCTAGGAATAATAATAATAATGACATAATTGTTATTATTATTATTATTATTATTATTTAAAAAAAAGGCAAAAGAGGGCCGAGCCCTCATTAACCCAAATTCCCCATGATCCCTCTCTTCCGGGACCGGTTAGTATAACAACACCTTTTGTGTTGTTATTGTAACAACACTAGTCTCCAACCAATAGGAAGCTAGGATTGTGATGACTTTTTATTAGATGAGTTGACCTAGTGTAAAAACAAAGCAGGGGTATAATTGTCATTATGAAAAATCTGTTTAAATAATAAAAAAATAAAAAATAAAAAATAATTTTTTTTTTATTTTTTGCCCAAAAATTTGGTTGTCGGAATTCGGCCACCGGTCGCCGGAAAATGATCGCCGGGCACCGGAATATGCTTTTTTGTCGCCGGAATATGCTATTTTGTCATCGGAATATGCCACAGTCACCGGAATATGCTCACCGTGGTCGGAATATGCTTACCGGCGTCGGAATCTAGTCATCGGAGCCGGAATATGTCTATCGGCGCCGGAATTCGGTCACTGACGGTCACCGGAGTTCGGTCAACGAACTTCGTTGACCGGGTCAACGGTCAACGACCACCGGATGTTTGGGTCTACATTGTGAGATTTATGGTTTGGTTTCTCATATTTTCGTATGCCTTTTGTGGTTTGCTTTATCGCGTTTGTGGTTTGCATTAAGAAGTTTCTGGTTTGCTTTATCGTGTTTTTGGTTTGCATTGAGAAGTTTCTGGTTTGGTTTCAAAAATTTTGTGGTTTGCATTGAGGGGTTTCTGGTTTGTTTTAGGAGATTTGTGGTATGCATTAGGAGGTTTCTGGTTTGTTTTTGTGGTTTGCTTTAACGTGTTTGTGGTTTGAATTATGAGGTTTCTGGTGTGTTTTTTAAAATTCTGTGGTTTGCTTTGTGAGGTTTCTGGTTTGTTTTAATATATTTTTGGTCTACATTAGGACGTTTCTGGTTTGTTTTTGTGGTTTGCTTTACGGTGTTTATGGTTTGCGTTATGAGTTTTCTGGTGTGCTTTCAAAATATTTGTGGTTTGGTTTGTGGTGCTTCTGGTTTGTTTTAGGAAATTTGTGGCATGCATTGAGAGATTTTTGGTATGCTTTTTTATGATTTGTTTTACCGTGTTTGTAGTTTGTTTTAGGAGAGTTATGGTTTGTATAATAAGGTTTTTGGTGTGATTTAAAAATATTTATGGCTCACTTTGTGGTGTTTCTGTTTTGCTTCACGAGACTTATGTTCTACATTAGGATGCTTCTGATATGTCATAAAAAAAAATGATAAACTTTGTATGGTTCAAAACATACAAGAACTAATCAGCTCATTCTACGAAGAATAGAAAGGAAAATCAAAGAAAATGGGTCAATGGTTAATGACAGAACAAGGTCAGCTTGGCCCTCTTTGTGGACAGTGGTACTGTTCTATACTGTGAAGCCTGCTTCACAAGATCTCACCCCCATGAAAGAACTTGCATCTAGCAATCTTCAGGTTGCTTGTTGTTGGATATTTGGACAACTATTCTTCGCAGCAGTTGCTCTCAGTCTCGCACGTAGGCACCGTGGATTGTTGCAGCTGTCGTCTTTCTTCTTCACATTTCTGCCACTGTTCTTGCTTGAACTTCTCTGAACAATCTGTGGAATAGTACTAGTATTCTTCACCATTTTTGCAGTTGAAGTCTCTGGTTCTTGTGATGGAGAAGGATGTGTCAGTGGAGCCTGCATGCAGAATCGAGCACATATTATATGCATTGGTCCATTCAATTTCGGGTTATTAAGCAAAGTCAATGTCTTACAGTCTACTTACTCTGCCTCCTCTTGAGCAAACCCAGAAAAGAGTTCAATTCAATCAATCAATCCAATGGCGGAAGCGGTTCTGTTCAATGTGGCCCAAGGGATCCTCAAATATCTTGGCTCCAAAGCGTTGCAAGAGATCGCACTGCAATGGAAAATCGGAGACGACATCAAGAAGCTCACCGACACAGTCTCCGCCCTCAAATCCGTTCTGCTCGATGCCTAGGAGAAATCCTACTCCCCCAAAAGTCACCAGCTCCGCCTCTGGCTAAGGAAGCTCCGGGAAGCCGCTTACGACGCTGAGGACTTGCTCGACGATTTCTCCACCGATGTTCTCCGGCGACAGGGGATTGTCAACGCCGGCGACCGAATCTCCAAAGAGGTACTCGATTTCTTTTCCAGCTCCAACCAACTCGCTTACCGCTCCAAAATCTGCCATGGGATCCTAGACCTTAGGGAAAAGCTGGATGGGATCTGTGAGAGAAGGAATCTGTTCCAATTGGAAGAACGTTCAGCCGCCGCCGACAACGGAAAGCGCAAAGGAAGAGAGCAAACCCATTCCGATGTCCCAGAGGTCTTCCCTGGGCAATTCCGCCGTGTCTCTCCAGAATCCCCTACTCCAATCGACCTAATTCAATCGGCGATTTCAATTTCCTCTTCCAATCTCTCGATCGCGCAGTCGATGGTGAAGTCGATTATGGGATCCTCCTCCAACATCAACCCCGCTACCGCCGCGAAAAACTGCGTCGAAGTCCTCGCCAACTCGAGGCACCGCATCCAGTCCACCGCCGCCGGAGAAGCCCTCCGTTGTGGGGGAGGAGGTATCAAGAACGCGCGAGCGTGAGGAGGAGATCGAGAGTCATCTAGAAATTGGGATACCTTAATTTAATTTTTATTTTATTAGATATATGAGTATATTTACTCTAATACCCTTAATGAATCCTGTTGTTAGTATAACAACACTTTAGGTGTTGTTATACTATCCGGACCCCTCTCTTCCCCAGGGCTCCGGATACTATAACAACACTATAAGTGTTGTTATAATAACAACAAGGGTAAAAGGGTCCATTAACACAATATATAACAAAGATAAAATTTAATTAATATATATTCGCTGGGTCGCTTCGCCTTTTCCGGTTTCTAAATCCCCCAACTCCGGCCCGAATTCCGCCTCCCCTGTCCTGCAACGGCGGTATTTTGATTCTCGCCGCCTCTAGAAACACGGTTACCGATTCCGGCGTTGGAGGCGCCGGTCCCCTCCTGTGATGGGTCGTCATTTCGATCGCTCCTCATCCGATTCAAATGCTTTGACGCACCCTCCGCCACCAAAATCGCTGGCACCACTCCTCCAGGAGACGACGGATCTACTATTGAGAGGGAAACGAAATTGGAAGGGTGGAAAACAATCTATCTATTCATATACGAAATTCGACCAGAGTTTTAATATCCGGGATGCAGAAAGGATGAGGAGGGAGCTGTAGGCGGTGGAGAGAGAATTCGAGGAGGCGGAAGCTTCGAGGAATGAGTTGGAGGAGAAGATATGGGACCTGGAAGCAACGATTGGGAAAAAGTTCAAGGAGCTTGAGGCAGTGGCCATGGATTGTAACCAGGAGGCTAGGAGGTTTGTTACTTGACTTTTTCTCCCTTCCTGTGACATGGGATTCTTGTTCGTCAATATTTCCTGTGAACCAAATCTCTTCATGCTTGCTTAGCTTTGTACTATTTGTGCATAACAATGTCCTGGGAAGTACAGTTAACTCCGTTCACATGTTTGCAGCTTCCTCCTTCTT